AAAAAAAAGTCACTGAAACCTTGATCATGGCTGAGCTGCTCCATCCACTATCTTCATGAGAATATGTATGTTCAAGTGCAGATGAACTTTGGAATATACACAAATTCTTAATTCAAATGTATCCTGACACTATAAATGTGACACCCACCACTGTCTGGTGATTTCTGACTTGAACATCCCGGTTGTTGATTGCCCAGATGTAAGATTTGGTTTCCTGGTTCGGTTTCCTGTTCCTCCAGCTTACAGGTACTGGTTTCCATCACTAAGAGATTTGTGCTCTCATGCATATGTCCGCTTGTTTCCTCCTGTTGTGTGTCTTTCTCCTCAGTCTCATTCTGGTTCTCCTCAACTTCTATGTCTGTCTGCTGCATTGTAGCATTAATGCCCTGAAGATCTTCCTTTAGCGCATCTTTTTCTAGACAATAGAAAACTATACACACAATTCCTGATATGAAATCAAGTATATTATATTCTTTATAAATGTTCATATATATATAAGTTAATCTCATTTAATGTATTCTGTACCGAATAAATCATGTGCTCTGTGTTCAAACTTCATTTACTTTAAGCTTTGTTTTACCAGAGGAGTCCAATAAGTTCCTTGTGTCTGTCCTGATCTTTTGACACATGAAAAATATGAGTTCTAACAGCATTCACCTGCCAGTAAAGCAGAATTTGCCATTTTTATTCTCTCCTTATCAGTCCATGCTTTGTCGATCTGTTGAGAAGAACATTGAGAGAAGAATATTGTCCATCGACCTTCATGAAATTCCTGAAATATCCTTTAAAATACTCAGTTCAGGCTGATGGCACAATGGACAAGCAAGAGGGTTTCACCATTTGACTAAATTCATTATTTTTATAATCATTTACTAAAATCTATAATTATGCTTAAACCTGTAAAACAGTGTCAGAACAAAAACAGAACAAAATTGGACAGTAACAATGTTCCACCTACAGATAAAGAGTTTTCTTTCTCCAAAGGTTTTGTATTAAAAATTATTTATTTTTTAATGACAAATGGAAACTTAATGGTAACTTAAATGGCTACTTAAATCTTATTGGAGCTGAGAGACCAACAAAATATACCTTCAGTTATTTACATTTGTTTCATAAATGTTAGAAAAAATTAACACTGTATTTAAAGTAAACTATATTTTTCTATTACCGGTTTAGTCCATAGTGTGGCTGTTTGTTGAGGCATTTCAGTCTGATCTTCATGGGTCTTTACTGCTGTTGGGAAACATGCTGTATGAATCACAGCGAAATCACAATAAAACAGTTAAAGCAATAGAGCAATAAGAAAAAATGTATAGTTAACCAGTTAAAATGAGAAACAGAGAAAATACTAATAATCAGGAAATTGTGGGAACGAAACTTAGCACTCAATACACATATTTTTGTAAGGCTGATATGATTAGATGGTTTACTTTGGTACTCTAAGAACTAAGAGTTTAAATTAGATCAATAGGTCTCATTTCTCAGTTTACTGATTACACTCTGAGTCTGATCAAACACTTAACAATCCTCTGGATTTCAGTTCATTCTGACAAGAGGTAGAGTTTAGAACCGGTGTAGAATGAAGTTACAGTATATGAAACACTCACATTTTCTTATTGTTATCTCCTCTGTCCAGTCTCCACTGGTGACCTGACACAGGTAATCACCAGCATATGATTCCCTGACATCCTTCAGCTGTAAGGACACAATTCCTCTCTCCAGCTCGTCAATGCATAGACTCTTTATGCCTTCATAACTCTCCCCCTTTATCAACCGTTTGTTCTTATAGAAATACACACAGTCTGTTTCCTTAAACCATCTAATCTCCATATTGACAGCACTGATTTCAGGATATAGGTGACACTGAATGGTGGAATCTGATTGAGTTGCTTCAGAGAAAACTACCTGAAACTCATCTGTATTGGAAAAAGAGAAAATGTGGACTTTCACAAATTATTATTATCTTTTATAGCATATTAATGGCATTAAGTATGATGGAAATTACATTTTTAACAGAACTTACTATTGCTTTTAGCCTCCATTTTCTCTCCTAAATAGGAACATAAGACACAAAATGACACAGCAGAATGATTCCAGATTGCCACTTTATTGCAATTATTCCATCACTAATGTAAACCTGTTATATCTGAGTAAAAAGAATCCTTTAGCCATTATTTTGTTGTCTATTAGATGTTTATATGTAGTCATTCATTAGCTGTCTATTTGATGTCTAGTCTATTTGTGGCAGGCGACATCTAGGGAGTAAAGTCATGAATTAAGGGGGT